ATGCGAAGAATACTGAAATAATGGTTGCGGATGGTTGTAGCGTCTATCATACGGGTGTAGGATTTCCTTTTCAACTTCATTTAACGATGCAATGTAAGTTCTGTACAATGAGTTCCAGTTAATTTCGATACGTTTTCTTTCAGGTTGAGAAGAGCCACGCCACCAATAGTAAAAAGGATTACGCCATAATATAGGAACCACCAGTTGGCACCAATAACGACTAACGAATAAAAACTTATAAAGAGTTGAATAATTTTCTTCAAAATATAAAAATATCTCTAGAATACATTCGCATGGAAGATCCCCAAAAGTCTTCATCTCTTCTTCAGAAAAAATTGAGTTGTACGTACTACGGTATGGTGTAACTATATGTACAGTACTGTACTTAGTTTACCACATTGTTACACAGTATTTCTGATCTCGTGATAGTTGCAATGCACAATACGTAATAAGCAGTACTGTATAAATTGTATAAAAATCGATAATGAAAGGTAAAAGGGTTACATATCAAATTCTAAAGGCGTGGCTTTTTATGCAATCAAAAAACATGTATAAGGCGTTCAATTGTCCAATATTCTCTTTGAACTAAAAGGGATCTTTTTAATAAAAAACTTAATATTTAATATATAAAAACTTGTCATTTAAATTTTTAAAAAATTTTTTTTTATAAAACGCGGAATTATCATATACTTTTTAATATTATTAACAGGTGAATAGTAACATTTACTATCTCTATTATATTTGTTATTCTATTATCTTGAAAATACTAAAGATTTTAGATTTCTTAATGATAGTAAGAATATTAAATATTTTATAATATAATATCTTGGTTAATATTATAAGTTAAAATCAAAGAAACCAACTGGATTTTTAAAAATATAAATAAAAATAATGCAAAAAAAAAAAAAATAATAAAATTAAAATAAAATTCTCTTAAAAAATTTTTATTTATTAAATAAATTAATTTTTTGAGAAAAGCATTGACTTTATCAAATATGAACGTCCGTTAAAATAAATAAAATCTTATAAATTTAAAAAATAAATATTTTAGAATGTTAAAATTAAATTTTTGATATATTGTTTGTTAAATGAATATTTATTATAAGTCAAATAAATATAAAATTTAATTTAATAAAAATTAATAAATAAAGACTTGATAAGAATTTAAAAACTTTTTGATATGCATTATTGTTTTTTCAAAATTTTCTTTTTACAAAAAAAATCATAATTTTATCTTATATCCTTTTAATAGAACTTTAGCAGTTTCATAAATTTTTAGTTTATAATAATTTTAAGAAAGTTAGACTTAATTTTTATTACAGATTTACAAAATTTTTTATTTTTTAACTTTTATAAATATAAAATTATTTCAATATACAATTTTTAAACAATTGTTTTCAAAACTTATTATATCAGTACAAATTAAATTTGATTTTATAAAAAACCACAAGAAGTTTTTTCAATAATATATCATTATAATAATCTTATAATTCAAATCAAAACAATAAATTTTTAAAAAAAAATTTTTTTATTAAATATATAACAACTTTAGCCTTAATATAAAAAACTATTTATAAATATTTTTTAACAATAATTTTAATTGCAATTTTTTTATTGAATCAAATATAATTAACAATAACAATAATTATTTTTTTAAAAAACTATAAATATTTCTATTTATTTATTTTTAATATTATATTAATTTAACTTTATCAATGTCTTTTCTTTTTTTAATAAAAAAAATTTTAAATAATTTGTTTTTAAAAGATTTATATTGTATTGATTCAAAGCAAAATTAAATATAAAATATTATTTTATATATTCTAATAAGGTGTAAAAAAATTTATATTATAATATATATAATATTATTTAATTAAAATATGATAAAAGCTTAAAAATTTTATAGATTTTTTAAAATTTGAAATTTTTAGAAAAAAAATTATATAGAAAAAAACATTAATAAAAGTATTTTTTTTTTAAGATAGACCAAAATATAAATAAAGATATCTATTTATTAATAGATATTAAATTATATCACATGATAAAAATTGTTATCAAAAGAGTAGGCTAAGGATAGAGCCAATACCAATGTTTATAAAAATTGTTATCATTAATAATTTATCAATTACACATAGTAGAGAAGAATTATTATAGTAATATTTTCTTTAATAAATTTGATTTTTTTTATGTTCTTTATAATGGAAAAATTCATTCTTTTATAAATATATAGTTCCTTCTATTTTTTATAGTAAGTTTTGTAGAATATATCTATCTAAAATAGTAAATCAGTATCTATAGAAACATATTTCAATATGTTTTATTTTAGTAAATTTTGTATTAAAAAATTTTTTTTCTATAGAAATATAAGTAATAAAGATTTTATTTAAAAAGAATCTTGCAAAAAAAAAAAAGAATTGCTATTAAGAAACCTTCTAAGAACTCATACAAGTTGGTAACTATATACTACTTTATATAGATTATTTCATGTATACATCTCTTCTAAATATCCAGGATTTAATACATAACATATCACCTTTGTAATATTTAGGGGCAGTCCAATAGGAAATAATTATCTTGCCATCCGTTTAAACTATCTATAACTGGTCTATACCAAATAGACTTGAAAAAGAAAATCTTAATTAGAGGGGTTGATCCAAGTGCCCTTATACCTTATCACTTGAATCTTATATTATTTCTTTATACTTATAATATAGATCATTTGTACATCTCACCACCTGCAGCTGATACTACTTATTTAGGCTTTACATCAAATTGGAATAGCCCAAACTAAAGATTCAATTATTATTGAAACACTTCCAATAATCATTATAATATTATCTGAATAATTGTTATATCATAATATCTTTTCTAGAGATCACAATTTCAATATTTACTGGATCAGTATATAAAATAGCTTTGCATAAGAAACAGTATATAACAGGTTATGGTGCCAGTTCTATTCAATTATCTTCATCTAGAATTGAACTGGTATCTTGTAATCTGATCTGTAAAGTATTAAATATTACACTATAGATTCATAGGTTATAATAAAAGTATTTTTTAACTATTTATTTATTTTTTAGTTAATATATTTACTTATTTTATGTTATAAAACTTTTTGGAAAATATTGTATTAAATTTGAACTCTAAAACATATTAAATTAATATTGAAATAATATTATAATAGTGATACTTAATAGTAAATTGAATATATTATAAGAGGGACCGAAAAATTAGATAGATTCAACATATTTCATCCTTGCCCAATTGGAGTTTAATTGGGGCTTGAGGGATTTTTGGGATTTTTGGGATTTCTTAACATGTATATAAAGAGAAGAATGTATTAGAGAAAAAACAACAATAAAATACTGTCCTTTTACTATAAAACTCAAACTATTGTCTAACACTTTCACTTACCTCGTGCCACTTCTCCATGCCTCTTTCGACGTTACATGATCGGCGATCATGACGTAACGACAAACTCGCCGTTATAATCTCCAAAAATATAAATTATATAAATTAATATTAAATTCAAATATTTAAATAGTATTATTAGAAGTACTATATTTACTATATTAAATATATAATAATATATTAAAAATAAATTATAAATAATTAAACCAAAAAAATAATATTAAAATTTTAATAATTAGAATTTAAATATTTTATCTAAAACCATAAAATTATAACAATATTTTAATTATTAAAATAATAATTAAGTTTTAAAAATATTACTTAAACTTATAAAACCATATAACAACTGTTTAAAAGTTGATTAAAATATACAAAAACTTTAAATTTTCTTATAAATATATTATTATTATAAAAAAATAATTTAATTAGTTTAATTTATATATTATTGAAATTTTATAAATTTCAATATTGTAACAATTTTAACCTGTAACTGTACTATAGAACCTATATTGTACCTAGTGATTCAGATACTCTAAAAAATATACAATTTGCTCTTGATGACTTATAAATATAAAGCATATTTCTAAAAAATTGTCAAATATATATATAATGCAATTATAATTTCTAACAATATATTATGCTTCCAAGATATTATTAATTAATTATTAAATTATAAAGTATATATTGTAAAAATAGCAAAAAATTAGATAAATTCAATATATGTTATTCTTGTCCAATTAGGATTTAATTGGGACTTGAGAGATTTTTGGGATTTTATAACATGTATATAAAAAGAGAAATATACAAAAGAAAAAATAACAATAAAAGACTATCCTTTTTACTATAAAACTTAGATTACCATCTAACATTTTTACTTACCTTGTGTCACATCTCCACATCTCTTTCAATATTATATAATTGGCGATTGTGATATAGTAGCAGACTTGCCATTACAAATCTTAACAATATATTGTTTATATTATTATCTTTTTATTTCCTTTTATATTTCCTTTATATTAATTAAGTATATATAGTTTGTCTAAAAAATCTTTGAACAAATATTTATTTAATTGTTTATTATAAAATTTTAAAAATATATATTAGAATATAAAAAATCAAATAATAAGTTTTTTTTAATACTTTATTAATAATTTATCTTAAAATTTGATTTTAAACTAAAAAAAGTTTGTTTAAAAATTTTTTATAAGTTTATATGTAATTATATGAAATTTTTTTAAAAAATTATTTGATTAATAAAAAATTATAAGAAAATTTTTTATAATGTATAAATTAATTTTGATTTTAATATAAATTTTGAAAAAATTTGTATTTTGTATTTAATTTTAATAAATTTCTTTAATTAAAAATCAAATAAGCAACTTAAAATTTAATAAAAGCTATTTTTTAATTAATTTTGTTTTTATTTTATTTATTTATTTATTATAATTTAATTAAATAATATATTTAAAATTTTTTATTTAAATGTAACAAAAATTTTAATAAATTTTAATAATATATTAATAAAACCTATTAAATAAATTTGTTTTTTATATTCTTATTAATGTATATTTAAATTTTTATTTTATTTTATTAATTATTTATTGAATTATAAATAAAAATAAAAATTGAAAATTTATTTAAAGACTTTTTAAAAAACTATATATTTCTGAAGATTAAGTTTAATATATATATATATATTTATTTATTTATTTATTATTTATTTATTTATTGTAGATAAACATTATTTCTTTATTTTATTTATATATAACAAGATATAAATCATAAAAAAAACAACATCTTTTATATGTTAGTACAATAAGTTAAATGTTAGCTTGCTTACAGTAACTATATAATTAATATTATAAAGAAAGTTTAAAACAATATATTTTACCATGTGATACCAA